AATTTGGATAGCATCATTGTATTGGTCCGGTTGCCGTCATCAATTTACTTCTAGCCCAATTACTGTTTTCAGATTAACGTCGAAATTCATAATCCTGACTACGAACAAAAAGTACTTTTCTTTGAGTTCTTCCTGGAACTCTTGGATGATCGCCGATACGTTCCTCTAGTTGCCGATACAATGATAGGACACATCAGGTAACGTACAATTGATAGGATAGGGCTCTTCCCAGGAAGGTCTTTCAGGGGGTGTCAGGCTTTTTCAAAACGGTTTGATATAGGGGCACATGCGGGAACCACAGAACCATGGTTAATTTTTCCTGAACGGCCCTCTGAATACCAGAAAAAGGGGTCCCTAGTTCGATTCCTCGTGGTGACAAATTTTTGCATTTCGAGTTGACGTTCCAAAATTCGCGCAAAATGGAGTTAGCATGAATAATTAGTACCATATTCATGATTAGGACCGTCAGTAACCCTTACAAAAAGACTTTGATTAAAAACTGGTGAAAAAGGTGTGACACCAAAAGGCCCACTGTGGTGTCACACCTTTTTCACCAGTTTTTTAATCAAAGTCTATTTGTAAGGGTTACTGACGGTCCTAATCATGAATATGGTACTAATTATTCATGCTAACTCCATTTTGCGCGAATTTTGAAACGTCAACTCGAAATGCAAAAATTTGTCACCACGAGGAATCGAACTAGGGACCCCTTTTTTGGTATTCAGAGGGCCGTTCAGGAAAAACCATGGTTCTGTGGTTCCCGCATGTGCCCCAATGTCATGCAAAAAACCGTTTTGAAAAAGCTTGGCACACCCTGAACGACCTCCCTTGTGAGTTAAAACCATGCACATTTTGAAGACCAACAGCTTCATTAGCCTTTTTTCAGGTTATATCTGCTCAACTACGAACATCCAGAATGTCGACGCCGATACGTGGCCCCATAGAATCAGTACTGAATTAGTAGACAATAATAATAAACTTTTGTTTCCCTGAAGTCACTAGCAATTTGCCAAACAATCCGTCATTTTCATGAGTACTCGCAGCTGCCGGGCTCAAACAATCAACAACGGCCCAAAGTCCAAGGGCACCATTGGCTTTGCTCACTTCCTCCACCACAGGATCAACCGTCGCGTTCGCAGTTCTCTGGAAATTTGCGACCCCCCCCCACTTTAAAACCCCTCAACACCTCCATCGACCTTAGGAGGCTCCCCCAAATCAAACCTCCTTTGCATGTTTCCCCCTTCTGTCGTGGAACATCCACCAAAAATTCGAAAAACCTGTTAAGACTACCCCTTTTATGAACCCTGTTCGTTTTCTCCCCAGAGATAGTTAACCTTGCTCAACCCATATGCGAACCCCCCAAAATCACAAATGCGACCCCTTGGTTCGAATAGTGCGAACGGACAGTTGACCCTGCTCCACCACGTCCTACGTAGGTACCCAGCACACAACCCTTTCGAAGGCCCAGCCCGAAATCAATCTACCCCACAGCGAAAAAGGGCAGTCCTGCACAGCCAAACAAGACCTTCCACATCTGCTCCCGGTTGCACACAAAAATATACAAACTATGTTACATCGATTTATTTCTTCATACATCTGTATCTCACTAGGATAAACAACACCGTACAAAATAAAATGGATTCACAACAAAGATATTTATTACTTAAAAATTATCTTACAAAACTAAACAATAGAATAGAGATAGAGCCTCACGGAGCCCAACCCAGATCTTCGACACGTGATAATAATGGAGATCATCGGGAAAAACGGCTTAGTCGACTTCTTCGATGGTTGGTCCACCAGCGCCACCACCACTGTGGGCACCACCTCCTGGCATACCACCGGGCATTCCACCAGGGGCTCCACCGGCGGCTTGGTACATCTTCGTGATGATGGGGTTGCAAACAGACTCAAGCTCCTTTTGTTGGTGCTCGAACTCGTCCTTTTCTGCGGTCTGGTTGCTGTCAAGCCATCTGATGACTTCGTCGCATTTCTCCTCGATCTTCTTTCTTCTTACGGTCGTCGGCCGAAATCTTGTCTTTCAACTGAAATGTGCAATATTAATGAAGGCAGATGACAGAAAAAAAAACCGCTGAAATAAATTATTATTAGAATTCCACTTACTTTCTCGTCTTCAAGGGTCTGCTTCATGTTGAAGGCGTAGCTCTCAAGAGAGTTCTTTGCTCCAATACGATCCTTCTGCGCCTCGTCTTCAGCCTTGTACTTTTCAGCTTCGTTAACCATTCGTTCGATTTCATCCTGTAAGCAAGCAGCGTTAACGATTGATAAAAAAGACCTAGATAAAGAAGAAATGCTTATTTCTGCGAACACCTACCTTGGACAAGCGACCCTTGTCGTTGGTAATCGTAATCTTGTTGTGCTTTCCAGTCGACTTGTCTTGCGCGGATACATTCAGAATACCGTTGGCATCAATATCGAAGGTCACCTGAATCGTCAAAATCAGTTATCAGAATTTACAAAACCGCAAAATCTTTACACAATAAGATATGAACTACTCACCTCAATCTGGGTACGCCTCTTGGTGCGGGTGGAATTCCAGACAGCTCGAACTTTCCAAGCAGGTTGTTGTCCTTGGTCATTGCACGCTCTCCTTCGAAGACTTGGATCAGCACACCAGGTTGGTTATCGGAGTAGGTGGTGAAGGTCTGGCTGGTCTTCGTGGGAATGGTCGTGTTCCTCTTGATCAGAGCTGTCATCACACCTCCAGCAGTTTCGATACCGAGAGACAGAGGAGCCACATCAAGAAGGAGGAGATCCTGCACTGCCTCCGACTTGTCACCCGAAAGAATAGCTGCTTGAACAGCAGCACCGTAGGCAACAGCCTCATCAGGGTTGATCGACTTGTTGAGTTCCTTTCCAGAGAACAAATCAGAAAGCAGCTTCTGCACTTTAGGAATACGAGTGGAACCTCCGACCAGGACGATGTCATGAACCTGGCTCTTGTCCATCTTGGCGTCTCTCAGCGACTTCTCAACGGGATCCATGGTCGAACGGAAGAGGTCAGCGCAAAGCTCCTCGAATCGGGCACGAGTAATGTTAGTATAGAAGTCGATACCCTCGAACAGCGAATCGATCTCAATCGAAGCCTGAGACGATGATGACAGCGTACGCTTTGCACGTTCGCAGGCAGTACGGAGACGTCGGAGAGCACGAGGATTGGTGTTGAGATCCTTCTTGTGCTTCCTCTTGAATTCAGCGACGAAGTGGTTGACCATTCGGTTATCGAAATCTTCTCCTCCAAGATGGGTGTCTCCAGCGGTGGACTTGACTTCGAAGATTCCATCCTCGATGGTCAGGATGGACACATCGAATGTACCACCTCCAAGATCGAAAATGAGTACGTTTCGCTCTCCGGTACCCTTCTTGTCGAGACCGTAGGCGATAGCAGCAGCAGTGGGTTCGTTGATGATACGAAGGACATTCAGGCCAGCAATTGCTCCTGCATCCTTAGTGGCTTGACGCTGGGAATCGTTGAAGTAAGCTGGCACAGTAACAACGGCATCCTGAAAATAAATAACTTAGGTCTGAAACACGAACCTAAATTTGCCTTAAATCTGTTATAAGGTAGTTTTCCACAACTCATCCCTTCCGAAATGACTAAGTCAACTAAAGGATACCCCAAATGCGAACTTTTTGCATATCCCGACCCAAAGCTGAACATGGGTAAGCAAAATGGTGAAAACAAGAGTCATAGCTTACCTTGACCGTTGATCCAAGGAAGGCCTCTGCAGTGTCCTTCATCTTCGTCAGAACCATAGATGAAATTTCCTCAGGGGTGAAAACCTTGACCTCTCCTTTGTATTCGACTTGGACCTTGGGCTTGGAGCCTTCGGCTGATATGACTTTGAACGGCCAATGCTTCATATCGGATTGGACTGCAGGATCGTCGAATTTACGTCCAATCAGACGCTTGGCATCTATAATTAGAATGTTGAAAACCTGGACCTAAGTCGAGCTAAAACGACCAAGTTGAAAAATAACTTACCGAATACCGTGTTGTGAGGATTCATGGCCACTTGATTCTTGGCGGCATCTCCGATAAGACGTTCTGTATCCGTGAATGCAACATATGAAGGCGTTGTGCGATTACCTGAACCAATACTAATTAGAAAATGTGCGATATTGAAACCAAAACAGACAAAAATATACAAATCGGGCTGTAGCTTACCTTGATCATTGGCGATGATTTCTACTTTTCCGTGCATGAAGACACCCACACACGAATATGTGGTGCCAAGATCAATACCGACTGCGTTAGCTTTCGTCATGGTAGCTGAAATACACTATAGATAGTTGGTATGCCTTTAGGGTTAATTGAAAAGAACGAACGCGACGATCAACGAATAGATTTAAACATGCCAGCAAAAATAGCATAGATGTGAAAGTGG